CAACTTTCTTCGGTGCTAACGTTGACAAATCAACAGTACAGGCTTCACATTTTTAGCATCCTCTAAATGAGACGCAATGAGCTCTTCAACGACATCAAGTTTAATTTTGTCTTGTGCTACTTTTCCAATTGCTTCTGATGAAGGCTTGTAGCTTCTGAACGTCTTCTCTTCCGCTTTACTCTTCTTCGTTTCCTGACTTTCTTCTTTGTAATCTTCCTCCTTCATTTCAATGCCATGCAAGCGTGATTTCATTTCCAAAAGTCTCTTTTTTCTGGCCAAAGCAGCCGCTTCCATTTTGCTTGTCTCAGTCTCCATCTCCTCATCTGACGACGAATGCTCCTCCTCAACCATGTTTGCACTCGAACTTGGGTAATTAAACCTCATGCTCAACAACGGCTCAAGAATTTTTGCAGATGCTGCATCTCTTCTTGTCAATGCCATCTATTTTACGGCTAAATGGCAACATGAATTCTACAAAACCGAGAATTCGCAAGGAACATTTTATAGTGCCCCAGGAACGGAAAGAGAGGTTGGCTACAGTGTCTCATCTTTAGAGTTCTTCCTTATCTTCAGTTCAATGTATACATGCATGAGCAACTGAGTTCCTATGCACCTTACCCATAACATAGCAACTGAATTGTGTGGCGCACTCATTGTAAGCTGTCTGGCCTGCAGCGGCCTCGCTACGTTCTTTTTTCTTGCATGTGCTATCCCTCTGATTGTGAGATGATTTTATGAAATCAAGAAAATGATCGATATCTAGAGCTGCCGCTACATTTCAGTGCTGTAGCCTTAGTCTTGTCCAGCCAATCCTGTCATTTCTCCTTATGTGGCATAGCCGGACAGTTCTGCATGTGCTGCTACCGTACTGTTACTGTACTGACCATGAGACAAAAAAGAGCAATCCGGCATGTTGAGGAGAGTTTTTGAAATTTTTCACAACCTACTCCTTGCCCTCGAACGACGAGTGGTGTCGATAGCGTGGATAAACCTGCTACCAATCGACACGCTTCAACACTGCCTTCGAAACTTCTGTAGAGCTACCTTCCTCCCCCTCCCCCCCCTTTTTGAAACATTTCTTGACAGAATTCCGAATTCAGTGGGGTATTCAGGGGAAAGAGTGATACAAAATTGCCCATGCCCCCAAATATGACCCATTCGTAACCCAAATAAGTCCCCTCCCCTTTCATATTGGGAAGCACAATTATAGACCCCCTATAGACAAACAGTTGAATCTTACGATTAGTGTAGGAATCCTGTCAAAGTGCAAAAGCTTATTCCTTTACTAAAGTGCTTCAGCAACGGCTTCAGTGATGTTTGCTTTGCCTCGTCATAAAAATAAATAAGTAAATAAACAACACAAAGAAAACAATACAATTGGATGCAGCCCTTCCTCCACCTCATTTTTGAATGGTTGGGAATAAAAGCTCCAATTCTGCGTTTTCAGGTAGAATTCATGAATGATCGTGAAGTGCACCGGCTCTACACCGAGGACGACGACCTTCAGTTGCTTTCACTTCAGTATTTGGACACTTCGTTTGCGTTCAACATTTTCCTGCCTAAAGAGAGGTGACACTATAACTATATGAGCAATATTAACTTTAGTACTGAGTTCAATGATTTCTAGCGTTTTTTTTTTCAGGTTTGGTCTCAGCGAAGTTCGTTCAAAACTTGACGGAAAGAGAATTCAAGATCTGTTTTCAAAATTGAAAGAAACCTACATATCGGTACAGCTTGGAGATTCCGACTTTCAAAATCATCCATGGAATGCTTAGGCCGATGTCAGACTTTGCGAATCGCGCGATTCGCTAGCGTCCGCGGTCGCGTTGCGGTACCAGCCAATTGAGCGATTCACTGGCCGCGACGCGACCGCAGACGCTAGCGAATCGCTCGATTCGCAAAGTCTGACATCGGCCTTACTAAGAATGTATTAGATGCGAAGAACTCACTAAAGGGAATATCGTTTAAGAACTTCACGCCCATTTTGCAGATCACAATCCCAAAGATGAACATTGAAACGGACTTTGGTCTCAAAGAAGCGCTAGTAGCTATGGGAGTTTCGGAGATGTTCAGCGATAACGCCAATTTGACTGGAATCACCAAAGAGCCTCCGCTTCGAATTTCTGACGCTGCTCACAAAGCCATCATTGAGGTAATGGAATGTTTACTCGATGTTTACATTCAGTTTGTTCTGAAAATGCTTTGATAGTCTTGACCTCTTTCCGAAAACCACATTTCAGGTGAATGAGGAGGGAACAACAGCATCGGCCTCTACATTCTTCAAAGCAGTATTGATGTCATATACTACGGAGAAGCCGGTGATATTCCAAGCCGACCATCCGTTTTTATTTATTCTCACCAAGAGATAACAATCCTTTGTTTATGGGTCAATTTGTGTGAAAATTGTTATCGTTATGCAGAATAAAAAACACAGTGAAAGCAATGAACTCTTCCTCCTTCTAGCTTCATTCTCGCACCGTAGCGGGTCCACTGCTTTTGTTATAAGTCGCCACTTTGTCCTATTCGAAGCATCTTCAGCCGCGCCTGTAATTGGTGCTTCTTTATTACGTCCCTACTGCACTTCTTTGGAGTCGTGGTTACTAGCCCTGCGCTTCAGAGTCCGGTGATTTTTTTATCAGATGATCTTGTGGCCGCCTATCTCAGCGCATGTTCATGCCACCTGCTTTCGCACTTTAGGTGGAATGGGAACCGTCTGCATTAGCGCTCTTAACTCTTCATACCTAGCCTTGCCCAGTCGCGTTCAACCGCGCGCTATCCTTCTCACCGTCCTCTTTTAGCGATTTGGTGTAAACGATAAAGCATAACCAGAAATGCTGATTAAATATACTTGCTCTGCTTTTTGCCTAACAGACACATTTTGAGGTGAATTACAGATCAGAACCTCTACGCCTTTTCACAGCCTCAACTATATCCAAAAGTCTACTGCGAGAGTTGGGCGCGCCAAAGAGGCGCGATCCCACGAACAC